ATGACTGGTACAGACGTCAGTAATCGAGACTGTGTTGTTGCTAAGAGCGGACACAGTAAAATAATCCGATAATATAATCTCGTTTTGTTGCGTTGTTTTCCTTTCCCCTCGCTGTTTCCATTCGATCAACAATCAGTATTGAATTACTTATTGTGTTATTGCAATTGATTTCGAAATTTGATAGATTAATTCATTGTATACCGAGTGAGGCTTACAAATAAATATAAAATAGGAGCAGACAATAACAATGAAAGATTAGAACGATTTTAGTGGAACAGTCGTATAGATTCAGCAAAATCCAATAATTCCCTTTTGAATATTCTACGACTCATCCAGTAAAAAGCTAATCCTCTGAATAATGGGGGTTATAGATATCAACGTGGAGCAGGCATGGTGGAAAAATATGTCAATTGTTTGCCTCTGCATGAGTTTATGGTATTATTAATAACTTTAAATAATAAATCCCGGCTTTTGTTGATATTTTAATTGCTTTCAGTAGTGTTTATGTTCGCCGCTGTACGGGAAATTGTATTTAAATTAATCCGTTAAGAGATTGTGTCAATTTGTTTATGTTATGTCCTTTTATATCAGTTTCAGAACTAAAATCGACATTTCGACTAATTAAATGTGACAGTTTGTTGTCGGTATTAACATATTCATTGATATTAAAAAACAAGGTATATTGTATGTACACATGTTTGCAACTGTCTCATTGGTTTAATTTTGGAAATAGTGATATTATGACTGATAGAAAATTATGAACATATTATCAAAAATGTTTTACTGAATATTTTATTGACAGACTAGCTCCACCCGGCAAACTTCGTACCGCCTCAAAACCGCCTTTTCCTCAAGTTTTAAACTTTCCTTTAGGACCAAAATTAGCCAAATGGGTTCAGCCGTTCTCTTGTTTTAGCGAGACTAACGAACAGAAATATGTTTTTATTAATATAGATAGATATGTATACGGATATTTATTATGAGCAAGATTTTCCCTATAAATGCAAAATTATTAGCTGTTCAGCCAGTAACGTTATAATGACGTATTACTGTAGAGTCATAGACGCGTATCGAATCAATGTCTTAGCAGAAGAAAAAGAACATAAACGCCGACGCATTTATCTCGATGTAGTTTCTAAAGCAACCATTGACGTTATGACGTTTTGTAGTCGCGATAGCCTATAAACAATGTCCCTTTCACAACAAGGACGTCGGCACCGCACACAAGCACTTGTCTATTCATCATAGACATCAGTAGAGTTGAGTACTTTTTAAAACACTTTTCTTGGAGATTCTTAACTTTCAAGGCTTAGTGAATGAACTGTTGACTTTGGTTGTTTTAAGTGATACTGACTAATTGGAGAAATAGCTATAGGTTAGAGTGCATTTCTACGCTTCCCATGGGTTTTGTAAGAGTTAAATAAGCGACGTACTCAATGTCATAGTAATGGAGGTTTAAAACGCCCATGCCAGCATTTTCATGCATGAAGAGTCATGCATGAAAATGCTGGTTCAGAACCTAATAACGGCAAGTACTAATTTATCTTCTTAAGAGTTAGAGAAGGAGAGCTCTCTGAGATTATTTACTGCCTCGCTGGCCGAGTGGTCGCAAGTGCGACTGCCAGGCAGGGGGTCTCAGGTTCGATTCCCGGGTCGGGCAAAGTATTACAGGGTTTTTAAAAAAATCTCAGTAGTAGCACGGAGTCTGGAATTGTGCCCGGTATATGGCAATAGGCTCACCCCCTATTACATGGGACTCATAACATAAACAGTGAAAAGTGGGTGTTACATTGTACAGTGGTATAATGTGCACCTCTACCCCTTGGGGATAAAAGGCGTGATGTTATGTTATGTTATGTTATGTTATGAGATTATTTAGACGCTACTGATAAACTGTGAAGTAAAGCATGCATCGTGAGGAAACCTGGGCAAACAATTATTTTTCTAATTATAAGTTTGAAATCTTATTTATCTGTGAAGAGGCATTTGGTCGGCAGTGGCTACTTATAAGCTGTTGATGTGCTGTAAAGTAAGCTAGTACATATTTGACAGAAACCAGATAGGTTGTCCGGGACAGCAGCAGATCCTTACTATAATATTATAAATCAGAAAGTGAGTTTGTTTGTTTGTTCTGCTTTCACGCCGAAATTACTAAACCGATTGCTTTGAATTTTTGCAGACGTGAATTTATAAGCCTGGATTAAATAATAGGGTACTTTTTATCCCGGAAAATTTTGATATTCTAGAGGGAAAACGAAATTATTGGTATAGATGGCGCTGTGTGTATTGGTATATGTCACATAGGCTACTTTTATACTTTTGTGACGCGAGCGAAGCCGCGGGTAAAAGCTAGTCTCTGATAAACTGGAACCTTTTAAAATGTGATGTCCAAACCCTCGAAGTATGGAGATTACAATAATTATACCCTTTTATGTATCGAAGACCGAAGTAGTCTGTTGTCGGTCACTGTTAATTGTTGTCGATGATGATGATGATGCGATAAAACAACTAAATTAACTAAAAATCGTGGGTTACTCACGTGAATATACTGAGAGAAAAGCTCTACCAGTTTATAATATTTACGGGAGTAACAGTTTTAGTAAATTTAGTATGTCTCACGATAGTTATTATAAGAATAAGAAAATGAGTAAAAAGTATTGTTTAGTTTTTTTTTTATTTGCACGGAGTATTAATGTAACTATATCTACAGAAATTACTATTATCTTTCAAAAAGATTAAGTTTTAGATTATTAGATTACTAAGGAAGTCAGCATTCTCGCTGGCTTCAACTTGAATAAAGAAGCGATTGAAAATATTAAAATTTTACTTTTGAAACATTAATTTATATAAGTGATTTCTTAAGTGCAGAGTGTCTTACTGGGATTTTAGTTCCAAAATATTTATTATTTAAGACAGAGAGCTGTGCACTGCAATCTCTCTTATAATAATAATAATAATTTATTTATTTATTCAGATAATACAATCCATATGGTTAGTAAAGATATCTACAACTTAAAAACTAGTATTAGTACATCACCCCTCTTCATATAAAATTAAAATAATTTGTCATAAGTAATATAATAATGATAATATAGTAACAATACTGCTGACTTTCACTACTTCTGGGCACGGTTTGTAGGCAACACTTGCGTCTTCGTCCAGTGTTTTAGCATAAGGCCATCAGTCCTATCCGCCACGGTCATCAGAAGACTGTTGGCGCTGCCCCGCACCCGCTGCATCAGGGAGGCGACACGCTTTCTTATGATTGCGTAGAAATCATCTATGCGTGCATCAGCGAACATCCCCGATGCGCTACAGTGTCGAGGCAGCCCCAACAGTGCCCTGTACGCGTTATTATATTGGACTCGCAAGGCGCTGTAAGCCCTCTGCGTGTAGTCGACCCATAGGCTGCAGGTATAAAAAGATTGACAATATGCCCTGAAAAGTGTAGCCTTCACATCATGAGAACACTTTGCAAACCTGCGGATCAACATATAATAATAAACATCAACTTAATTGGAATAAAAACTTTTTATTTAACTTTTTATTGGAATAAAATTATGTATCGTATATATATAATTATGTATTTTAATGCTCAATATTGAATGCATCTCATTTTCTTAAGTAAGATCTACCTTGTATAGTTATTGGCATATTGTGTTTGTATTCTCTTTTTTGTTTTCTGCAATCATATTATGCTTAGGTTAATACAACTTTATCTCGTGAATAAGGATATTAAACATAGTTAATTTTATGACATCAGGATATCCTGAAAACATAATTAAATGAGTTGGTCGAAAGGTCCCAAGTGCGGCTACTGACCAAGGGTTCCTGAGTTCGATACACGGGCTGTGCAAAGTGTTACAAGAGTATTTTTAGTTTGTATAAAACGTATCAGTAATAACACGGATTTTGGAATTGTGTCCAGTGTATGGCAATAGTTCCACATATAGGATTCGAAACATAACAAGTAAAAAATTGGTATTACCTCTGTAGCTTTGTATACTCCTTTTGCCGATCAAAAACCGTGTCTTATTGCAAAAAAAACAATAGTCCAAAACACACCATTTAAAGTTATTTTACACAAATAAAAAAGCATCAGAACATTAATCATAACATCAGAATATCTCGATACTGTCGTTTAAATTAGAAATCTTTTCCTAGAACGCCATGCATGGACCACCACATAGCGTTTGCTAATGAGCAGCCTGCTTTTGAAGTTACTACTACTGAGAAACAGACGACGAAGCATAATCAAGAGAAACATTTCTATGACATTTCAATGCAAAATGATATCAAATGCAAAGAGTCTAAGTACTCAAGATCTCAGAAACGAATATTCATTATTAAATTGGAATGGAATATTATTTTCATTTTTGAGGTATAAATGGAAATAATATTATGTCATCTATATAGTCTATCTGTAGTTTATCTATCTATACAGTAATAAGTAAAAAATATGTACCTCTATCTGTAATATATCCATCTATACAATAATAAGAAGTGGTTTCCACTTTCTAAAGTTTTGTTCAATGAGTTTTGCACATTTGTCTGTAAAATATTTCCTTGAAATATTTTGTAAACTTAACAATCGTGGCAAAATAACGGGATAAAGTGAAAATCCTCAGGATCCAATAAAGGAAGAGCCACCTGTTTCATTGTAATGTACTTTATAGACTGCGAGCCGGTTAAAACTTGGAAAAAGTGCTATCTACGTTCTGCGTTGTTTCCTAAAACTTTTTCTAAAGAAAATAACAAACTTTAAGAGACTTCCCGCTGCTCAAAAAATAATTAACGCCGTGGAAAACTTCAAATTGTATAATTGTTTATTAATAACATCAATTAATTTATGTAATTGTTTCGTAGCGGAAAGGTTTTCATTTATACTCCCTCTATTATCCCTTATAATTTATTTTAACTAAAACAACTAGCAACAAAATTTTGTGAAACTAACTTATTAGTTATGTTGTTAATTACTTAACGAGAAACTTCGTACTCACCGTCTGACGATGTAACTGAACCACTAATTATGAGCACCAGCAACACAGCTGTGACTGCTGAACACGAGGCCAATCTTCGTCCGCTCATCATGTTGATTAGTTTACCCCAACGACATGTTAATCGAAATAACTTTTCCAAGATTTACAAATACGTCAACAAAAGTGTTGTGATGAATGTCAGTGGGGTAACGACGTTTCCTCATTCATTCGCCATCGAAATCGGCTCCATTAAATATTCATCGGCAGGTGGATCGAGTGGGGTTCGTATGCCGGTGCCGGCGAGCGTGCGGCGGCGTCCGTCGGCGGCGCGCTGCGATCTCGCGGCGCTCTGGCTGCGTACTGGCCGCGCTACGCTACCCGCGCCGCTTTGTCTACGAGTGTGCTACGCTCCCGGCGCTTGCGTAGCCCCGCCTCGCTCTCGGATGAAAGGACGGAACATTACCAGTATTTGTAACAGTTTGCGTCAAATTGATATAAATGGAGACGGTTTTAATAAAGTGTAATTGACTTTTGCCGACTTTGCGTCGCATTAATTTCGACCACGCTAAGACGCCTCGGGCAGGTGCGGCGTTAAATACCACCACGGCAACTTCGCTTTCTGCTATGAATAATTTCAAATTTAAATGAATGTTAATTATGATGAGTTTTTAAGTTTACTTTGATATTTCTGAGATTGATGTTAACGTATAAAAAGATTCGTTTTTATCAAATATTGTAAATTAATTTGCCCAAAAGTTTCTCTCTGGCGACTGCACTTTTAAAAGTCCCGGGATTTTATGTGTACGGTAAAGTAATATTTATTTTACTTACAGTTGAAACATTTAAAAAGTATAAGGGACGTATTTATTCAAATGAGTATGAAATGTAAATAGGTGCGTAATTTATGCGATTACATGATAATTTACGTCGGTAGCGTCAATGAGGTTAGATGCCGTCTTAATAATTAATGAGTGCGATCTCACAACAAGGATTACATACAAAATGCTTCGGTGAAGGTTTCGTGGGCCTCTCGGCGATGATTACCATTATCTATAAACTAATAGACGCGTATGAACGTAGACAAACATGGAACATCTTTAATTAACAGCAGCAGTGAAGATTAACAACGCTCACGTTAATATTATCAGAATGTTTCAGCCCGGATGAATCCAATAAGCATGAATAATTAATTGTAGTATGTTAATATGTCAATACGGTCTCGACCTAATACGATCCATGATACGTACAATTAAGTAAGGTTTAGCATTACTGTTTACCTTTGATTTGTGTAATACAATGCCGAATTAAATTTTCTATTTCATTTTCTTATTCAAAATTGCTTTAATGTTTTCATTTTGTTATAAATGAAATATATTAAGAAATGAGAACGATATTGTTTTGATATTTCTTCAAATATAAGTTTTAAGGCTGTTTTAGTTTTTACAACTTTTGAAATAAAATTGTTTGAGCTGGATTTGTTTCTAGGTATTTTATTTTTCGTTATTACTAAAGTAATTATACAGTTACATAAATACAGTGAAAAATATTATTTTAAAGTAAAACAATAAGCAATTTTAAACCATTATTATCAATGCTTATTATTTATTTTTTTCCTAAATAAAAGTACACTTAATCAGTCTTCTTTACGATACTGAGGGAAAATGTGATAAACCGATATAAAATAAAACGTAATAAAGTTAACATAAGTACCTACTTCTAAAGTAAGCATCAAATATCTACACAACAGTTTTAAAGGATCTTCTTTTCCACATTGGCTGACGTATGAATATATTTTAAAAGGTTTAACTTGTTTCAACTTTGTACCTACTTAATTATGATTACAAGGCCAGGAGATATAAATTAAAACAGTGGGTGCTACCGCAGCGAACACGACCACGGCTAGCCACCTTAACTTATAATAAAATAAATTTATTATACTACTTTCGTAGACAAGGATTCCGTACAGTTTTAGGACAAAGTTCTTTAAACTAAGCGGTCAAGGTTTTTTAAAAATATATATTGCTATGGCCTTATTTGGGTCTGTTTTGATATTTTCTTTTTAAATAATTTTTATTATAGCTATCTAGTGATATTTTATTGAATGAAAGGGAGACGCAGGTGGCGAGTTGTCGTTCAACGTGGTAGACTAACGTCCAGTTTCGGCGCGCGCCTCAAAGAGCCATCAGACCACACCACAGATGGGGCCCAATAGGGCCGATGCCGATTCGGAGTCGCGGAGAACCTAACGGGTAACCGGGGCTCCGGCTCGACGTGCAGGAGAAGGAACAGGGTGGTTTTTAGTCAGTAAGAGTCTGACACTCCCTCCCGCCTCACCCAGGCGGGAGCAGTCATTCGATGATTTTCCCCCCTTAAAAAAAAAAACGTCCAGTTTCTATAACCTATCTATCTGTAGATTTACTTAATAGAGATAGAATTTTGACACATTTTGTATGGAGCTCATGTCAAAATTCTATCTCTACTACTACTCTACTAGAGATAGATAGGTTATAGAAACTGGACGTAAGGGAGGCCTTTGTTCAGCAGGGTATGTCTTCGGGCTGTTGATGATGATGATGAGGTTAATTTACTGAGTGTTTTACTATTTTTGATTAGAGAACATATTATTTTTTTGTGACCTGTAAAAAGTTTAATTAATATATGATGAAAAGTAAACTTAATATGTTGCTAGTTACCGGTAAAATTAACATAGTAAGTGCTTTGTTCACACCACGAAACAGAAAACAACATGTAACACGACACGTTCCTGGTCAGTTTATACTCTGTTAATTATATTTCTAGTATCGCAGTAAATTTAATCAAACATCCGAATATCTTTTAGTGAAAAAATACTTCGTGTACACTAAATATATTTCAGATGAAAGCTATTCGCTACACTGACATACCTACTGCGTTAATAACTTGTCGATATGGATATTTCCCGTGTTACTACTTACTCGGGAAAAATAAATAGAGCCAAGGGTGATAGGCGTGGGCAAGAGGGTTGTATGGGGGATCGGTGCCGTCTAAGCTCACAAACCCTTTTTTCCGTCTTTGCAAATCGTCGGGGATTAAGCCAGAAGATCTCACACCTTTTCACAAATATTTTTTGTGGTTTAACCGCCGGTAAAACGCCATGATACAAAGTGTTCCTGTCGATCAATAACTGTTTTGAAAGATAAAGAAAGATTCGTTACAACTCTTATTGATACTTTGATGAGGAATTGAGGAATGAGTCCGAAGAAAAAGGATTTGGGTGTAAATGAGATATTCCTGTTTCCGAAAATGAAAGAATTATTAATGGAGTTTTAGCTTTTTGTATTCACTTAATAAAGATGTTTACTTTTATTTTCTTTTCTTTTCAACTTTGAACGGAGTTAAACTTAAAAATATGTTTAGTAGTATCTTTACCCACGTACAGGCAAGTTGGTAGCCGAGTGACTATCTAAGTAATCATTTAAAAGTAATAGCGTAATAAAATTCGATTCTCAAGCAAGAGTCAACTATTTTGGTGTACCTCAAGGTAGTATTTTGGGGCCTTTGTTATTCCTTATCTTTGTCAATGATCTCCCACGTGCGCTTATACACGAATGTGTCTTATTTGCGGACGACACAACAATTATTTTGGATTGCAAAAATAGGGCTACATATGAAGCTGAAATAAATAAAACCTTAAATGATGTTATTAGGTGGCTTAGTATTAACAAATTAAAAATAAATATAGAAAAAACTAAAATTATTAATTTTAAAACATTTAAAAGTAAAACTATCGAACTAAATTTAAGTTATAATAATACGCTTATTCAGCAGATTCATAATGCCAAATTTTTGGGTGTAACTCTTGACTCTCATTTCACGTGGAAGGAACATATTAACAACTTATGCAAGAAAATTAACAAGTTTGTCTTTGCACTTCGGAAAATAAAAGACGTAACATCAATTCAAAGTTCCATTATGGTGTATCATGCATATATTTGTTCCATAATACGTTATGGTATCGTCATATGGGGAAACTCCTCTGAAATCATGAGGGTCTTTGTGGCCCAAAAAAAGTGCGTTCGTGCAATGTTTGGCATGGGATGGTCGGATTCTTGCAAACCCGTATTTAAATCTAAAGTATTGTTGACTGTTCCTAGCATTTATATTTACGAAGTGGCTAAGTTTGTGAAATATCATAGTTATTTGTTCGTTGCTAACGATAATGCTAACAGACGCTTGATCACTCAGCTGCCCCTGAAAATGCCCATCCCTAAACTATAGCTTTATAGGAAAAGTTGTGCATATATGGCGCCGCTCATATTTAACTGTCTACCCCGAGGAATTAGCGAGCTGCCATATAAACCGTTTTGTCGTGCCTTACAAAAGTGGTTGGTTCAGGAGAGTTTTTATTCTACCCGAGACTTCCTAAGTAACAGCAGCTGTAGGTATGCAGCTTTTTAAATCATTGTATCATCGTGTTAATCAGTGCCTCCATGTTTTTTGACCAAAATTAATTATAAATTTGTCACCTGACTTCCTGATTTGCTATGACAATTAATTTATTGACTTTTTAGTATATTACAATTTGACTACAATACCTGATACATAATTTCTTCTTAATGACATCTTAATTTTATTGACATTCCTAATTTATTTTCTGACTTTACCTGTTTTAATTTATTTGAATTGTTACCAATAATAATAATAATACTAATTTTAATATTATTGTTCTTTAATTAGACATAAATTAATACTGTTATTACAATTTTATACTTCTACACCGGTAACGGTAGTATGTGTGGAACTTTGTTAATTTTAAGATCTGTGTGCACCATATACTGAGAAATAGATGACATTCATTCATTCATTCATTTTCATTGTAAGATAGTTTTTGTAACTTGACCTTGTATGTATTTTAATAAAAAGTAAAAATGTCTACTAATTAAAGTAAAGATGTTTACTAATTAGTAGGTAGACATCTTTTTATGAGTTGCAAGTGTAGTGATAAAACATTAACTTCAAGTTAACGTATTCGTGTGAATGTTGGTGTTGAACTTCGTTGTTCTTTCATGTCGCATAAAAATTATTGCATTGTAAACATTTTGAGAAAATCTTTTTACACGCGGCGGGGAGAACGTAAAAGTTTGTTCGTTTCAAATTCAATATATTATGGCGAGCGTGCTCTCGCTCAGCCGACACCGAAACTCACTCGAGCGTAGCTCACACAAAATTTATTGTTTTTCTAAGAAAATTTTCTTCGCACGACCCTACATCCTTGTTGAGGCCCAGGGGAAGAGTTACAAAAACTTAATGACCTCTTGC